CTGCTATTCTTCAGTAACTGATACGCTCAACATACAGAAAGGCGGGCTTACGTGGCGGCAAAATGGTAGTCGCGGTGCATAATCTCCATGACCTCCTTCAACGACTTCTTCTCTTCTTGATACAGGCGGGTAATGATCGGTCGCTTCGTCTCCCAGATCTCGGCGGGCACGCGCTTACGCGGCTTTGCTGACTGCCCAGAGCTTGTCATTTCAGCTTCGGAGTCAGTCGATGTTTTCCGCTTCGGCGGCACGGCTAGACTGGAATCTTTCATGGCGTTGGCTTTGTTGGGATCTCGACTTGACAAACACAACGAATGTTTGATGTCAATGGCGGACCATGCACGATGGTTTTATATCGGCGAACCTTCACTCTCACCGTAATGAGACAATTCATCAGAAGAACGCGGGGAATCAGATGGATATGTTATTTGAAAGCAGGAAAAAAGGGGACTCAAACGGTAAGCAGTCGAACCGCTAAGCCCGGTAGGGCCCTGTCTTCCCGCCCCCATACCAGCACGACCGGCCTACTGGTGGCATTGGATTCAATGTCACCCCTCCCAGCGGCTGCACACCCCTGCAGCGAGAGGCCTTGCATCTGATGTCAATTATTATCGACCTTCCCCGAGCGGAATTGGACGGCCACAGATACCCGCTGAACCGCTGCCGACTCCCAGTCTCTCGCCAGGAAGGCAATTCAGTGGCCAAGATGGTGACCATCGCCTTACAAGGGTGGTGTAAGTGGGTAAGGCGCAGGGGGCTTAGGCAAGGTGCAGCAGGAGATCAGCAGTCAGTATTATCCGCAACGGTCAGATGCTAGCATGAGGCGGGCCAGCAACCCAATGTCAGACAGAAGTATTCCGACGACAACGGGCGATGAGTCGACGGCTATCGAGCTGGCGGTCGTGCCACTGCCACCATTAGGTGGAGTCGCTCTCTGACAGCTTGCAGCAGCCACATCTTGACGGTTCAGAGTAACTTTGGACAGGACTGAGATCATCACTGCCAACCAAGTTACAAACTGACCTCCCTCCAGTCCTCCATCTCTATGCGCACCACCCAACGTATCCGGTTGCCTGAAAGTGGCCCGAAACAAGATGAGGGGGTTCCGAATTCGACTGCCTGTCCAGGGTGGGGATCCGCCCTGGTAATCAACCACAATGGCCGTTTCGACGCTGTCGCTCCTCCTCGACATGGAAAATTCCGCTGCCCCTCGACTGCAAATTCCCATCCAGAGTCGAAACAAGATGAAATGAAGAAGAGAGAAACTCCGAATAGAGTGAGGGATATGGCCCGCTTTGTCCGAGCTTGTGGGGAACGGGTCGGGTATCATCAGCACATGGCCGTTGCTTCCAGGCCAGGGCCCAGGGCTAGAGCCAGGAACCGAACACTCCAACGACGTGGACGCCAGAACGAAGAGGTCGCTCGAGGTCGCAGTATGTCGCGTTGAGACGAAAGGCTAGACTTCTTCGGGAACATGAAATTTGGGAGTCTACTGGTCCAGGGTGCGGCGTGGAAATTCGCTTAGTAGGCCAGTTGATTGGCGACGTTACGGATTGCCCATTGGAGAGAGATGCGAGCAAAAGCTATAGTATTTGTCGCGCGGCGGCCGCAGAGACCCCATGAAGGTCCCATCGAAAACGGGTCTCCTTTATTGCTCCATCCAGAGACCGAGAGACCTCTACGGATACACTACGGAGTACGGCCTCTCCCTCAAGCCAGTCAGTCGGGTCAACACGCCGATTATCCCGGGCCTGTCTGCGGTCTTGTGGCCGGAGAGCGTGGGGCCCATTCACTGGCGGCCCCGTAGGCCACGGGATTTGTCTCCCCTCTCCTGTGCAAAGAGCAGGGGGCGGAGGAGACATCAAAGCAAGGTACACATCAAGATCATGGATTCATGGATGGCAACCCCAATCCGTCCAATTAACGGCCCGAACATCACAAAACGCCTGTCCCATCGAACATCAGTTACCCGAGCCAACTACTCAGTGAATCCAAGCATTTCACTAGCAAGCCAATTTCTCAAGCCAATCGCGTCCCGAGGGGAGTGGCGGGAGAGAAGTATGGCTGCCGTTGCCTCCTTCGAGATTTCCTCCCAGGCTGGTTAGACTTATACGGAGCCAACATCGCACCCCGGCAACTTACTGTGGATCCCGCTATTCAACACGTCGCATAGACCACCAAGAAGGGGTGACAAGAATCCATCGCCCTGGTTCGTGGGCAGAAGGGTGTCTACTACGTAACAAGCAATGAAGAGATCATGCCATCCGAGATGATGCCCAGCACCGACGCGGGAAGCAGAATCGACGACATCGGACGGCCCGCAACCACATTTCCACGGCCGGGAGGCCCAACTGCTGCCTGCACACGTCTCCCCCCATTGCTCGAATGGAGGTCAATCCACCAAATGGCGGGTTTGACGGAATGTACTTTCAGGCTACAGAATCCTATCGAGCGCGTGCAACTCCTTGAGCAAACACCATTTGGGGCTGCCTGGAGTCTCACATCTCCGTAACACACGCTCCGAGATGAGCCTAACCTTGACCCGCGGCTAACAAGCCAATCCTCTGTTATTTGGCCTGGTGGGGTACGGGCGGCCGCTCCTGGTGGCGCTCGGTATCTGATCGACGAGTATCCAGATCTAACGCTCCTTGATTGCAGTGACATGCAATTCCGGCCCCGATTCAAAGTCAATTCACAGTCACAGGTCAAGTCGCTAAAGGCCTCAGTCGTATCCGAAGACATGGCTCGACTGCCAATCATACGAGCAATGTACAATCAAACAGAATCTGAAAAGAAAACATCGAGGCTGCAGTGATGGCAAATCTTGTCATCATTCGGTGAGAGGTAAAGCCTCGAGGTGACGAGTATGGCGCATGACTAACTCCGTCCTCAAATGGCTGCCACACTGCTTGCGAATAGATCGAATTGCATTCGGCACCGATCATTTTCACGAAAGATCTGAACTAATGCCGTAGGTCCACGGAGAACCCAAGCCGATCCTTCGTAGATGATCTGGATTCGTGAGGACTTTGGGATCAAGTCAAATTTCAGCCCTATGCTGATGCAAGCCGACCAGAGCATGTGGATACGACGTCTCAAAGTTCTTTTGACTCGGCCTAGGTTCAATGCCCGGATCGAAGTGTGATGCTGAATACACTCAATTGCACGCTGCAGAGCTATCGATCTTGGACCTATCGAGTCCTCGGGCATATGGCCTACACGATGTCGCATTGAGGCCATTCAGAACCTCAAGGCTCAACTTTCGCAGTTCATTCGCAATTGAGCGAATCACAGTTGTCAGCAAGCATATCCCGGCAGCTATGCTTACTGGTGACTCCCTCCGGTTACCGCAAGGCACATGATCTGGCACGATGGGACTTTGGTTCAGTTGCAACAACTCCAATGTTGACGGCTTGCTGAACAACGGGCACATCCAGAAGCTTTCATCGTCCATCTTCTTCGCAACTTCGCCACACGTATCCGGCCCAGAATGGTTTTATTTTCCAAATGAAAGAGTCAGTAACTGCAAAAGTCCTTCCTGGGAAGTGGCATAGGTCTGGTTGAGAAACGGGTCCCGTCAGGCAGTCTTCCTGCTGTGCCCGGCACGTCCCCGTTGCCTGCCTTGAGTTGACCGGGGGGTGTGGGCTGAACCCAAGAACAACGACACCAACTGACGGCTCTGCCTAGCTTAGGGCCAAGTTTTCTCAAGTCATTAGAGATGCTATGAAAGCTCCAGTGTATCGTTTTCTTGTACACCTCTTTGAAGCTTTGCCGCGCAGGGCTGGTTCTTCAACTTTCCAAAGTCCCTCCGCCTTTTACCTAGCTTTGTCTTTCACGACCGGCGGTGGGAAGAACTTCTCCCTCTACCTATCCATCCTCAAAGATATAAACCTCGTGCAAGACCGCCTTCAGAATGAGCCAGCAAGACCAGCAAGCCTCTCGAAGCGCATTGAGTTACTCCTCAACTCACCAAGCATCGCCCACTCAAGCATCGTATACAGACCAAGACACAAGCGAGCTTCTACGCAAGCTCCAAGAAACTACAGTAGGTCTAAGCTCAAGTTTGACTGGAGGTGTTGACTAACACAGAGGGGCTGATTAGATTGCGGCTTTGAGGACATCGAACAACACGATGGACTCCCACGGCGGCGGCGGCTCGAAGGGCACCTCACCCGATGACAAAGGCAAAGGCTACGACCAGTATGCGATCTTCGACGGCTTACTTCCTCGGATAGAGACCAGAGGACAGAGCAAAAACTCGTCGAAAAAGAGTAGCGGCAAGAAGAAGGAAAGCAAGGGCTCTAGTCAACAGTACGTTTCCACGGCGGACAACCAACCGGCGGGTGCTGATGGACCGAGTCATAGTTGAAGAAGTCACGGCTTGACCATAAACCATCAATTGCTGTTGATCACGAGGGCGCTCGATTTCACCACAGCGTATCTCTTTCGCAATCCGATGTCGATGCCAGCTCTGAGATTCGGAGGGCCCTTCGGGCTGTATGTGGGGCTAGTGAGATTTCCATTAATGACGGCGTAACATGACGTCGGAAGACGTTTGGGTTTAGGCATGGGGTTTCTATTTGGACAACGCATTTATTGAATTTGATTTATTTCAGGCTTTCTGTCAACATGTCCCATATCGATTTAATACCTCATTGCTATCTACGAACCTGCACTGCACGTCATTCATGTTATTCACAAAGACAGACAAGTAGTCGTGTTGTCTCTCACCCTCTTCGCAACGAGTGGACTGTGTCATAGCTTCCCCGTTGAGAGCGGCAGGCAGCGGCCGCCCAAGAACATGGGTGGGATGGAGGGGCATGCACCGCGGCATTCGAGCGGTCACGGCGCTAAAGGCCAGGTCCCGTGTGCCTTCAGGATGCCAGTGCTCTCGGTGAATGCCAAAGTAGCTCGGTGAGTCGAGCATCGGGGTACTTTTGAGGTGTCATCTTCAACCTTGACTCCGAACTATGTCGGCTCTAATGATCACAGTCACTGTGTCACAGCAAGTTGAGCGAGCTGAAGCCTAACGTGCCTGTCAACCAGCCCCTCTTTTTGCCTCCGAATACGGGTATCCTTGCTACGCCGTCCTTGGCTTCTAACAACTTCATGTCTAGAACCTGAAAACAGACGCAGCTTGCAAACACAGCTTTACAACAAGTCAACAGTATGAACCCCTCGCCTAGCACCGACCTTAAAGCAACAGGGTCAGTTAACGGTTCGCAGAGTTTTCCTCCCTTTAGGCGCAATGAAGCCCCCCGTCGAAAGATGCGAAGCGAACATGGGGTTCCACAACGCCTATGGGCCATGACCCTGAACCACACGAGTTGAGTGTGATCGCTTGACCTCGAATGACCATCCGCGAACGGAATAGCGCAGAGTCGGCCGCCGGGTGGATCTTGAGGAGAATCGGATAAGCGACGCCAGATCAACCACTTGTCGCAACTTTGATTTTCTTCAAACTTCCTTGCTAAGAGAAGCGAGCCGAGATGACAAGCAGATACTTTCCAGGGAGACTCCCGACCGCAAGTTTGGAAAGTTGTCGGGGCCACTAGTATCAGGCCAAGCTACTGAGCCAGGGAGCGTCATTCGGCGGGCGGCCGCCCGGTAGCCCGGGGGTGTTCCGGAGTTGTCCGGGCGGGCAGAGACATCGTCCGGACACAAATCACAAGCAGCACCTGGTTTTTTGCAAAGAGTACTTGCCTTTGAGGGAGAGAGGAATCCACAACCTGCTCATCCCGAAGCTGCTTCTCTGGTTGGCCAATCACTTTGATTTCGTATCCATCTAACCCGACAACGTGCTTACTATTACTCAACCGGCAGCGGCAGATACGGATACGTAATCACGGGAGGCGGCTAAGCGGCGGTGCTGGAGATGCGGTAACGCGGCGAAGCCACACCAAGTGACTTACACTTGCGTCTTCTCTCTCTGCCATGGCCCATGGGGCACATGCGCGGGCGGGCGCGGCGTCCGCCTCCCACGAGCATCACTCTGGGTCCCTGAATTGGTCACCAGGCTTAGCGTCATCTCCAACAAACCACAGATCATTGAACACCTCTTCCCCCCCTCTTCCCCCCGGCACTCAAGAACCCTAGTCTACCGTCATCGTGGGAGCCCGGCGGGCGGGCGGGCGCGTAGGGCAGGGGCGCGCCACGAACCGTGGGCTTATGGAGACTAGGACTACGGGACACAAGCATTCGACAGTAACTTTTATGGTAAGGGACCCGAGAGAGAGGGAAAGAGACTAGGACGTTACGAAGTATTGGGTGTGCCTCGTGCCTCATGCCAACGCTGTAGAGTTTGACAAATACTCAGCCCTGGTTGACGTGTGTACCTGCCTAGACTGAGGCCAGCCCTGTTGCTCTGCAGTGGGTGTGCGCGTGTGTGTGTGCTATTCGTTATCCCGCACCACTTCAATTCCTTGCGTGGTCCGGTATCCCGGGAACCTATCCTAGGACGACGGAAAGGTAAAGGGGAGTGGGATATACCACTGCGTAGGATTCTTTGCGTCAAGATTGTTATCTAACCTCCCCCTATTCCTAATCGAGACCTTGAAGCACGTGGGACTTTGGTTTTCCTACCTCTTGGTAACGTTTCTCTAGATTTCCCAGCAGCGCGAGGATTCGGTTCCTTCCAAAAGGAAGCGTCTTGAACTGCATTCGGGCTGGCGAATGAGGATGATGAAAAGTGCCGTGGGACCAACGCAGTTTTCGTATGGCTCTAACCCTTTCTTGCTTGCGCGGCTGTTCGCCAATGCAGTCGGTCAGATCGAGGGGACAATTGTAGGATTCGATATGGTCCTATCGTACAGTACTAACTAACTAAGCTGGACTGAGGGCGGGTTTCTCGGGACCGAACGGACTTGACGACAAGATGACCCGACTCTGTCATTACAGCAAGGCAACGCGAAGGTACGGCATAGAAGAAGATTGACGTACTTCGTGGTGTTTAACCCCTACCTCTATCCTATGCAAGTCAGGTCGCAATTGTTCGTCTTTGGTCAGATCGATGGACCATCCAACACACCCCAGGATACCGGCTGCTATCAATCAATAGCGGGCCTGTATGTAAGAATACATGTGAAGAATGTACCCAAGCATGCACGCCCTTGACGAGAAAGCGATCCGAATATAGTGTACACGAGGCCAGGAATCCCCCTTGTCTCATCGTATCGACTTTACCGCTCTCGTTGAGGAGAATCTCCCAGGGCTGCAGCGGGACCCTCCCACGTATCCCCCCTTCCCCTCCCCTATATGATCTACCTATTCAACCACGCACTCATCGAGTCCGAAGGGAGTCCGAATGCCCCGCTCCAGGCGGGGCCGCCAGCGGGAAGAAGGGTGACGTTCGTTCGTCAGTCCATGCGGCCGGGTTCACGGCGACGTCTCCTCGGGAGATGGGGTACGGGTAGCAGTGTTACATGGGGCGCGACATTGCCCGGGTCCTTCTAATCGTGGACTACTGGGATCTCGTCTAGACGACGGATGCAGAAAGCGTTGCCAGAGCCCACACTTACTCTCTGTCTCTCTCTTGCGTCCTATCAACCAGGCTGCCAGATTAACTCGGCTCGGGAGGAAGGGTGAGGGGGGTTCATCCTCATTACCCACGGACACGGACACGGGGAGAGGAAGAGATACCCTACCTTGGCTATGGGTCCTTTTCTTCAGATTGTTTACTGAATTAGTACTGAGGTCTGGGAATATGTGGGACTGAGCCACCGAACTAAGGTTGATGGGAAGGACTTTGAGTCCTCTAGCTCGGGGCCATGAGGCTATTCAGACGTCAACGAGGGGTAATGTATCGTCCCAGGGCCATCATTCTGATCAGCAAAGGTCAAGAACAACTTTGCTTATGCACCTGCCTAACCTGCGGCGGGTATGTTTGGAGGCTTAGGCTTCTGCTGGTTCCTTTTTTGTGTTCTTTTCTGTAGCTTGTGCAGCTTTTTCTGCGGGAATGACGCCGTTTCCCTCCACGTCTCCCCCTTCCCCCCCCCCCCTGCGCGTGCAACGAGGAAAAAGGGACTTTGGTATTTTTTCTCTCCGGCTTGAGCTTGTTTCTTCTCTCCATGGCCCCACGCGTCGCATATTTGCCCCTTTTCAGATGCTGCGTTTAGGCTCCCCCACCAGTGCACAGCATCTTTGGGTGGTTGCGGTGGTGGTGGTGGTGGTGTTTCGTAGGGCTAGGTACATGTACGGAAGGAGGTTGGTTGGTGATCAGGCAACAAGACCTGCCTTTTTCGAGAAACAGCCAAGCGCCTTTGTGTCTGACTGCAGGATGTGGGATTTAGACAAGCACGTCCGCGGCAAAGCAATGATTGACAGCCAAGACTCGACGTTAAACGGCCGCCTAGGTATCGTCTCCTTGCTCTACCGAGGGGCTGGGCCCACGGATGTTCCCATTGTTGCGTAATCTACGAATGCGGGGTATCGCGGACTTTGCGGCGGACTAATACCGTGGAGTTAGGAGGAGAGTTCACCGATGAACCTAGATATTCCAGGTTTAGTACGCTCGCGGAAACTTTGCGGAGAGTCGTGTTTCGGTCTGTGTTTGTTATTTCTGTCCAGCCTCAATACCAACGGCATATCTCGTGCTTGTGTATTGTCCCGGTGTCCGTCGGGATAGAGCCAACGGTGAGGGAGTGTTCACCGAGTGGAGGTGGATGTTGTCAATCCCGGGAGGTCGGTGGTATAGAGATTCCCGCCTAGAGATGGACGTAGTCCATTTGTCGACTTGGCTCGATCATGGTTCCTCCGCACCGTTTCCTTCAGGCTTGACTTCATACCTCAGAATCCAAGTGGCTTGAGGGATCCAGGCAACATCAAATCGTCCGGCTGTGAGGCCCGCGATGCGGCCCAACCCCTCTTTTGCTATCTTCCCCAATCCGCGGAGGAGGCTCCGTGGAGGGGACCTTTGCTTCCGTGGCGTTTGAGCTTGTTCTTCTCGTGCAGTACGGGTGTGTCTTAACGCCATCATCGTCTATGTCTCACCATCCCACCCCTCTCGCTTGACTTTTCCCGCTCACGCGCGTGTGCGGGTATCACGCGGTTGGCGTTTAATACGTTTGAGTGGCGGCTGGTATGTCCCTTGACGATGAGGATCGACTATGGATAGCAGGCAGCCTTTTAGACTCGGCTGGCGTGTCTGTGGGTGCGTTGCCAACGTTTTTGAGTAAAGAATTTTGGAACTTTGGTATTCTGTGGCCCCTGAGACTTCTCTCAGAGTACCGTTCTCGCCGCCTCGTCTCTATTGACGAGGGTTCGTTCCTAGCTTCTTGGCTGGGAGCCGCTTATGTGGAGAAAGGCGTGTAGGTAAAGCATAGTTCTAGAATAGAATCGGGGTAGCGGCTGAATCTCTCCCCTGAAGCCTTGACGGTCTGGTATCACGGCATGCCAGACTATCGCGGCAGCGATATAATTTGCCCTGCGCCAAACCCCTTGGCGTTAACCGTGGGTCTCAATATTGCTCCTGGGATATTAACCTGTTGCCTTGAAACGACCTACAAGTCTTCGGTGGCTTACTTCTGGCAGCTGTGGACCATCATGTCTTGTCTCGGCGTTAGTTGAGGTCCGCTTCATTTCGCTGGGTAGAGATTGCTGCCTATGAGGGGGTGACGGGCTGTTTGCGAGGCCTCAGAGAGGGGTGAGAAAGAGACCAAATACTTCAATGGAATATTCTGGTACAGCACCTAGAATAGTTTGGGGTGTTTGTGTAGACCTTGGATCTGTCTCGATCAAAATGGCCTGATGGACCGTGGCAGGGCTTGTCTACTGGGAGGCTTGTTAGTCATGTGTAATGAACTGTAACGGCGAGTTTGATCCAGCTTCCAACAGCATGTTCTGGAAGTAACTTTGAATTGATTTAGGCAACTTCTATTGACCTTGATGGGGAGAAGTCGGGTTCGCCTTGCTGGTTGGGGAAACATCGATGGCAAGAGGCATTCCCGATCGCGTTGGGAAAGACCCATAGCTGCTTATACTGAGTACCTTGTTTACCTTAGTAGGGAAGTGGAAGATGGGGCTGAAGATTTCAACTGTCTGATTGTCTTTCAGAATAGGGCTTAGATCTGTGAATCCGATGTCACCTGATTATGCCTTGCGTGTACTCGGGGTTGTTAAACGACCAACCCCTCTAGAACGCTCCTTTGATTCAGTTAAGGCCATCATGCTGGATGATAGGCTCGCTTCCGACGTTTGGCATTGGCTCACCTAGACAAGGCGACTAAGGACAAAGTGCTCACGAGCTTCTCATCATGTACGTTCAGTAAAGGTAGTAGCGCCATGCCTTGTTCCTACATTAACTCCTCATTTAGCATTCACCAACGGTCCTTCTCACGTATTCGTTACCTAATCGTACTAGCAAGCTGATGGATAACAAGGTAAGTCCTAGTGATCTAGTTGAGAGTATATTCACTTATAAACCTTCACTGGGCTTAGTCCATCGATGCCTCCCACGTATTCGTTGGTCCTCATCAACGAGCCGGCGGACGCTGAGCGATTCTAGTTGGATGGTAGTATTCTTTATAGAGAGTTTAGCTAAGCAGACGTTATAGGATATATCATAGGACATCGATGTGTTCACTACCGATGGTCGCGAACTACCAGTCTCAGTTGTCTCGAATGCATCGAGCTCAATTATAGAGATGAAGCAAGGTGATCTCAGTTGCGGCTTAAACCTTGCTTAAATAGGTATCGTGAAACTGCTGTGGCACAGCTTTTGATGGAGATGGCAACAAGAGGGGAGGGTTTGAACAAACGTCCAGTCCCATTGGAGAAGCTTAACATGTCTAACGCGGAATGACGATCTTGTCAATACCTTGACTTGTTCATCCCATGCATGGTTATGAGGTCTGAAGTAGATCACGATATTCGGCCGGGGGAAGGGCGGGGTGGAGAAACCAAAATGCTCATCGCCGAAAAGCTGAAAGGAGTCTCTGGTTACGGGATCGCAATCT